ATATTTTAAACTGTCAGTTAAACGGTGTAATCAAATAAAAATATAAATTTAAGAAACTTACTTTATAAAAGAAAAAACAAATTGAAATTCTGACTTGTGATGGAGTAGTTAAAATGCTTTATGATTAGACTAATCAAAATGCTTAACTTACCTCATTGTAAATCCAAATGAGATCAGGGACATCCAAGTAATCCAATCCAAGTCACAGGCAAAAGTCAAACACTGTAAGGCAGTCCAAATTATCAGGCAAACAAAACAGGCAAGGGTCAGACGAGAGGGTAATCCAGTGAACAAAGCATACAATCCAAAACCAAAAGACAAGAAAAAAACGCTCAGAAATGCAGTAAAACTTTATTCTGGGAACACAAAAGAACTATATACAAACATGAAAGCACCATTTTAAAACACTAAAAACCCAGAGAGTTATATAAAAAGACAATCAATATATTTAAAAACACTAAAGCACCATTTAAAACACTAGGAAGCCACCAGAGGTTTAAATAAAAACACAAAAGCACTTTAAATAGTGCTTTCATGTTTAAATAAACACGAAAGCACCATTTAAAAAAATAAATAAATTACATAACACAAAATCAATATTTAAAAACACGAAAACAGCATTTGCATTTGGAGCATGAGAATCAGCCATCACGGTAATGACGAAAAACACAGGTCTCTTTCGAGGCCCACCCAGTTCTGGGAGCACCAAAGGATCACAGACATGTAGGCAGCAGCGATCCCCTTGGCAGGAGGGACGAAGTCTCTACAATCATCAAATCCTATATCTCTGCTGTCGATTATTGAGCCCAAATGCTACTACCATTTTCTCAGGCACCCTTTCAATGATTGCTTTTTCTAAGAGGCTGCTTGCATGTTGGAATTTGGCCCCTGGATAGCTCTCAATCTGCAATTCTAGAGAGTTGGAGGGTGGAAACCTGGAGAGATTAGAATCCCCAATAATCACGAATTTTTTGTTCAATGTGAGGTTCCAATCATTGGTTTTCTTGTTTGTACAAATGTGCCTGCGTGTGCGACCCACGAAGATGCGTGTTCGTGATGGGGTAATAGTATGTCACCTGTATGGGTGGCAGGGCCGGTGAATTTGTGTTTACCGATGGAGTCGTAAGTCTGGGCACGACTGGAGAGGAATGATCTGGGATGACGGTCTCATGCTCCTCAGGAATGTGCTCTATGATTTCATCTACTCTAACCCGTTCTGATCTCTGGCTAAGTGGGTCCAACTCGTGGAGAAAATGAGACAACGGGGAGGACACAGCCATGTGTGGCTCTGAGCTATCTGAAAAAAGTGGCTCACTACCATAAGGAGAGACTGCTGCTTGATAGGGACATGGACCAGAGTCAGCTTCACTCACCGGACCCAGAGGGACCAAAAGGGGAGGCTCAGTCTGGCCTGTGTGACCCGAGTTATTCTCGGGCCCCGCGGCAACAGGAGTTAGAGTGTCCGTGGGTTCCTCTGGGCGGTTCGTGCTGCGTTGCTCTTTGTGTGTCCTTTTCTGGGGACGTTGCTCTAAGGGACTGCGCTCAACGGCCTGTATGGGCTGGAGCATGATATGGGGACCAACAGGAGGAGGCTGCTCCTCCTCAAAAGACCAATCCCCCCTGTGTGGAGGAGACGTGGCCGTGGTCTCGAGTCCCTGGAGTAAGCTCGGCGAGGTCTGAATTTCAATAGTTTTATGAGATGCATCCACCGGCGTGATAAGGGGAACAACAGACTCAGTGACCCTAGAGGACGTGGTGTGTGCCACTAATAGAGGGGTGGTGGCAGTGGAAACACTGGTGGTGGTTCGGGATGATGGTTCTCCCTGTGTCACCACCTCTGCATATGTGGGTGCACGTGTGGTCTCTGTAGCTTTACAACCAGAGGAGCCTGGCATTTCAGATTGAATGATCTTTTCTGCTTGCTCAAATGTCTCCTGGCTAATGCATGTTTGATAGTTCTTATGCGCCCAATTAGTAGCAACCTCAAAAGCTTTAGGCCAATCCTGGTGATTTTCAAGAGCACGGATTTTACGAGAGAGCTCCTCGATACGTGATTCATAGTGTTCCTCGAGGATGTTCTGTGTGTTGCAGGCCCAACTCCTAGCAAACAAGGGGTATGTTTCTGAGGGACAATGTGGGACACTGCTTGGGCGGTGGTGCCCCCACCCCACGGGCAGACTCTGATAGTGGTTTACCCATATCTAGAATTGTTACTATTGCCTTACTGTTTGTACATGAAAAATTGTTCAAAAAAAAAAAAAAGCACATACCTTAGCACATACATTAATAATGCACTATTCCCTAAACATGTGTAATTGCTGATATATACTCATGAATAGGCCAACCAATGTGTATTTTTTTCGGTAACACTTCATTAGTTAACATTAGTTAACCACATTAGTTAACATGAACTAAGAATGAACAATACTTCTTCAGCATTTATTAATCTTAGTTAATATTAATTCCAACATTTACTAATACATTATTAAAATCAAAGGTTGTATTAGTTAACATTAGTAAATGCACTGTGAACTAACATAAACGCACAATGAACAGCTGTATTTGTATTAAAGAGCACCTATTATGCCCCTTTTTACAAGATGTAATATTGGTCTCTGGTGTCCCTAGAATGTATTTGTGAAGTTTCAGCTCAAAATACCCCACAGTTAATTTATTATAACCATTTGAAAATGTCATTTTGGGGCCTGCTTAAAAATGACCTGTTTCGGAGGTATACGGCTTTAAATGCAAATGAGCTGCATATCCCCGCCCTGCCTTTGGATGAGGGCGTAACTTGATGCCTATGGCAGTCGGTAAGCAGAAGGGCTGAGAGAGTGAGAGACGCGCTGTTTTGAATGTCATTCAGCCGTACGTTTGAATCGGAATATATAATAAATATAGCATGAACACTGACTGAGATGCATTCATTTTAATAAAGTAATCAAAGTTGAAAACTGGTAAACTGCTCCCAGATTTTCACCACTGCAAAATTGTAGGTCAGCTAACCTGATGAGGTCTCATTCACTCTATGAACATGATAAAGCCAGATAAGTGTTGGATTATGAAAGGACACATACTCAGCTTTATTTTGAAGTAAAATACATGTCAACATCTCGTGAATTGGCTGAATATAAGACATTTTGGTGTGAGAAACCTGAAATTACCGGCAGAGAATAACATGCACTACACCGTTTGAGGTGGTCTCTTGCCCTCTCTGACCAAAAAACAGCATAATTAGTGTTAACACTAATAAGTGCAGTACTCACTGATTAATTTGATGCAAAAATCAGAAAGAAAGCTTGAGATTTGAGTTAAATAAAGACGTTTTAGCACAGCAGAGACAGTGACGACAAAGGCCTGGGATGAGTTCAACGGTCCCAACCTCAACTTTAGTCTGTATTTTTAACTCCCGGAACAAGATACAGAAAATTGAATACAAACACATTAACGTGCAGGTCTCAAGCTTTCAATAGATGTGCAAAACTTGTCTGTAGCATAAACACTGACTGAGCTGCATTCATTTTAATAAAATAACCAAAGTTGAAAACTGGTAAACTGCTCCCAGATTTTCACCACGGCAAAATTGTAGGTCAGCTAACCTGATGAGGTCTCATTCACTCTATGAACATGATAAAGCCAAATAAGTGTTGAATTATGAAAGGACACATACTCAGCTTTATTTTGAAGTAAAATACATGGCACCATCTCATGAATTGGCAGAATAAAAGACATTTTGGTGTGAGAAACATGAAATTACCGGCAGAAAATAACATACACTGCACAGTTTGAGGTGGTCTCTTCACTTCTCTGACCAATTAAAGCTTAATGATTATCAGCACTGAGAAGTACAGAACTCACTGTTTAATTTGATGCAAAAAAAGAAAGAAAAAAAAAAGCTTGAGAAAGAAAGAAAGCTTGAGATTTGAGTTAAATACAGACATTTTAGCACAGCAGAGAAAGTGAGGACACACTGCATGTTGTTTGCACACTTTATTAACTTGAAACTGTTTTCACAAGAAAAACACACTCATCACATGGTCAAACACACGTCACACAGTATTAACAATATAAAAGAATTTATATACACTGCATGTTGTTTGCACATTTTATTAACAAATATCCCCGACTAAGCAAGCCAAAAGGCGACAGTGGCAAGGAACCAAAACTCCATCAGATTGGATGGAGAATAAAAACTTGAGTGAACCCAGGCTCAGTCTGGCTTACATACATATTGTTTCAATAGAAGCTTTACAGTAAGTGTATATAAGGAAAGTTAAAAGGGAAAAAAATACATTTAGATAATCATGTAATATTATGGGCATAACATATCGCCAGCATTGAGTCGTCTCTTCACAGGTGTTGGTCTTCTCATCACAGGCGTTGGGGCATCTGAAGTCTCTGTGAGAGGCTGGATACAAACTGGAGCTGACAAACTCCTATTTTCTCGGGACAAGCGTCCCGAGATAACAGCAGAAAGGCAGAGGGGAAATAATTAGCATAGCTGATGTTCATAATATTAATGCAATATGTGAATGCTTGGTTAAAGAGATGCGTAACTTTATGGAAATTGTTCTCAGGTTCTGGCTCGTTTCCAGAATCCCTCAAGGAGCTCTGAGGAGCCGATGATGGAAGGAGACACTGTCCTGGGATGCCTGGGTAGAGTTGTCAGAGATCCAACCACTCCAGCTCCAGGACGTAGATCAAACTCAATTATTTCATTGGTCAAACTGAGGCTCCATTTACATGAAACTACAATGTTTAGACGCTATTGAGGCTCCTTTTACATGAACATCAAGTCCATACGCAAGCTCCCAATTTTGTCTAGACATCTATAGTTCATTCGCGAGCTCACAGTTGACAAATAAAACATTGATAGTTCATACACAGTTCCCAGTCTTGTGTCATAAAATGTAACACAAATGGTCTGTGAGAGTCCAGCAAAATCTAGTCCTTAAAACAGGAATAAAAAGTCCAGCCACTCCAGCCTGATAAAGGCCTTCTCAGCCATCCAGCCAGTCCAGGTGTAGGCCCTCTCCACGGAAGGACTTCCTTTTGACCCCGTAGTCAAACCGTAGTTCAACGCCCACACTGATGTCCTTCAGTGCCCTGAAGAGGATGACGTCCTTGTCCTCCCCATTCACACGTAACCTGCAGTGAAAGGGCTTCAGGTTGGGCGCTTTTGTGGAGTGGTTTATCCTCCTCCCAACGGTGTCTTTGCCAGGGTGGCACTCGCACGGAAAGGTCTGGGCGTCGACGCAGAGATCTCTCTGTCCGGCTTTAAAGAAGAACATGTACCCGGCCTCGTCATGCTGGGCCTGCACCATCGCCCTCCCTTGAGCAGCTGGGATGACCTTGCCGTGGCAGTCGCAAACAATGTCGTTCTTTGAAAAAGTCTGAGTTGCCACGACTCCTAAAATAATGAGAACACATTACATTTTTTAATTAATGAACAAACATTACATGTAGACACACAGTTCAGAATGTAAATGTAGTTCTTGCTGCAGTTATTGGCTGCTAAATTGTACATTTTACATTATTGTTTTTTTCTGCCCTTACAAGACAAATGAAAGGTTTTCTTACCAAAACCACGCTCATCACCAAAGTCTTTTATGGCCATGCCCGACCAGTTCTGCTCAGACACACAGCGAAGGATGAACTTGTCATCTTCAACTGCTGCCTTCGAAGGTGGTGTCCACAGCCGTTCGATGTCCTCCGGCTTGGGACAGTTGACCTTCCATCCCTCCTGTGCAATAAGCCGTGCCACCTTTGCGGCTGAAGGCTTGCGGACTGTGAAATGTGCTGAAAGACAGAATGACGTTACTTTGTTTGTGATGAGTAATGCCATGGTTGGATGAAGAGATGTATACCTGACTAATGATTCCAGCAGCAGAGCTGCGTTGATGACATCCTGCGGCCGGACCGCACCAGTGCTGATGGACAGGTAATGGTGCAGCGCCTCCTGTTGCTGCGCCGGGAGCTTTTCTGCAGCCTCCTCAACAGCCCTCCGCACACACTGAGCAGAGAAAGGAGCCAGCTTGTACCTGCAGAAACAAAAAGGAAATATTAATTGTGATGTGACTGTGATGAGGCAAGATACAAAGAAGTGTATCCGTTCACACACACACACACACACACACACACACACACACACACACACACACACACACACACACATGGACCCGTGTAAGGCACTTACAATTTATGGAGCCGATTCATGTCCCGAGAGACACTTTGAACCTCCACGCCGGATGACGAAACAAAGAAACTATTGCAGAGTTTCTCCGGCTGAATGTTCTCAGGCCTGATTCGTCTGAAGTACAGCTCCAAGCACTACGGAAAAAAGACAGATGAGTTATTACATTTAAAACTATGGTGGTGAGAAATCAACAGTTTGTACAGTAAAACTTACAGCTTCCTCCTCAGAGCGATCTGCATACTCGAGGTTTTCTCCCTCTGTACGCCGATCACAAATCTGCCACCCAGCTTGGTCTTGTTCACCCACTCGGCATCCTGGAAAATATTGAAAAGGCGTTATTTGAGAAGACCTCTGCAAAAGTCCCCTCGCCAATCTTTAGACAATGGTTCATGCCAGCTGGAGGGACACATTCAAAAAAACGAAGTGGTCCGCTCTGCTGGCATTCCCGATATATTCTATCGGCATCGCTGATATGCTCATCACATGAAGTCTGGAACACAAAGGCAGAGTAAAAAAAAAAAAAAAAAAAATGGGAGAAAAGAGACATCATGGAATAAAGAGACTTATTAATTTTCTGAGAAAGTAACAAAAACAATCATTAAAATGTATATTGTTGTATATATTGTAGACTGTACATTATTCTATTATACTTCTTACACTTAAAGGATTAGTTCACTTCAAAATGAAAATTCTGCCATCATTTACTCACCCTCAAGTTGTTTCCATCTTATGAATTTCTTTCTTCTGTTGAAAACAAAAGAAGATATTTTGAAGAACGTCGGACTTCCATAGGAAAAAAAAAAATACAATGGAGGTCAATGGGGCCTAGGGCTGTGTATTGGCAAGAATTTGGCGATACGATATGCATCATGGGTCACGATTCAATATATTGCGATATATTTCGATACTGTCCATAAGGCGATATATTGGGATTATTTTTTTTAAGTAGGACTATAATTTTAGAAAAAGCCATAAAAAGAGCCAAAAAGCCATTGGTTAAATGTGTTTTTAGAAGTTGGTTATACACTTAAAAATAGACAGGGGGGGTGGGGAGGTCGCACACCAGACGAGAAGCGCAGCGCTGCAGCGGCTGCACCACGCAGGATAACTCCAGGTAGGCTATCCCACACCGGACGTGCACTTTCTCATCAGTGTATGGCCAGCAATATTGTTATGTTTAATGACATGAAATGAAGGTAATGTCTGTTCTATGTTATGATTGTACTGTACAATAAAATACAATCGTTGTTTAGTCTGCAGTCTTAACCTCAGAGCATCCGTTCACTGAATGAATTGAGAATCTTAGCTGAAAATCCAATAACATCAGCAATTGTCATTCAAGCAGCTGATTTCTGTAAATGGATGCAAAACTAAATGCATATTGCAGCATAGGGCGAAGTCAGGAGACATTAGCAACGATTTGAGCCAAAAATAATTTAAATTTTATATAAAACTATGTAAATGGCGCTCTGTGGCGCAGCAGGATTTTGAACACGGCCCTGAGCCGTTGCTGGGCGCCGCGGACAGACGCCGAATGGCGCCGCCGGTGTACACTCATAGAGAATAATGTGTTCGAATTTTAAAGATGTGGTGCTGAGCTTCTCGTCTGGTGTGCGACGCCCTTATATACTCTCTGCCGAAACCCCCGTTTCACTGTTGCTCACGCGACGGTCCTGCTCGAGCTTCGACGGGCACGGCTACTGCTTGCGGTGTGAATGAACGCACTCATTGATTAACATGCCGAAAAGAATAGAGCAGGAGCCGGGTCTTGACACTGGGTTCAGCCATAGCCATGTTGTTTCTAGCAAAACGTTAGGCTAGTGGTGCGTCTGGCGCATCTTTTGTGTGCATAGCCACAAAAAAAAAAGATATTGTGTTTCTGAAAATCGATACAGTATTGCACAATAAAATATCGCGATACTCAAGAGTATCAATTTTTTCTTACACCCCTAATGGGGCCCATCAACAGTTTGGTTACCGACATTCTTCAAAATATCTTCTTTTGTGTTCAACAGAAGAAAGAATTCATAAGATGGAAACAACTTGAGGGTGAGTAAATGACAGAATTTTCATTTTGAAGTGAACTAATCCTTTAACATACACAAGCATGCAGTTACATGAACAAAATCCATTCTGTGTGTGTAAATGTATATACATCACAGACAAACAATTAGAAAAATTAAACAAAGTCTTTTGAACCTTTTTTGCGTATGGAAGCTTGTTTCTGCCACAGAATAAAGAAAAAATTAAAAAGGTAACTGACTTTTTCTCTCACAAATCTGACTTTCTTAGAATTGCAAGATTAAATCTCAAAATTAGGAAGGGGAAAAAAAATCTTCTGACAATACATCAACATTTTCTCATGTTACACACACACAAAAAAACAATAACAATAATAAATACTGTTACTTACAACTTCCATAGTTTGGCTGGGTTGTGCTGGACTTTCGGGGACAAGGGGATCTTCTAACCCATTATTGGAACTACAGAGATAGAAAGTATTTCACTGATACGGAAACAAACAACAGTTACGACATTCTGATTTTTTTTTACAAAACATATAATAAAAATTACACAGCACATTCATCAGCAGATGTTTTTGCATGGCCTTTCTTCATCGGGACTTCAAAGGACTCATCATCATTTTCATTGCTGTTGCGGAGTATTAATTGTTTATATATTTTAGCATAAATCACCAATAGTTTTTTTTTCTCCTCTCTCTGTAAATTAGCAGCCATTACTCACCTCTCATTTAGGTTCTCTGCTGAGGATTCTTGGTGTTCTGGTGTTAACACGCATCCATCTCCATCATGTCTCTCTCCATCCCCAGCTCGCTCTTCCACAACTGCAACCTATTAATCAAATCTGACTTTCTTAGAATTGCAAGATTAAATCTCAAAATTAGGAAGGGGAAAAAAATCTTCTTTTTTATTCCATGGTGAAAACAAGCTTCCATACTGGAAAACTATACATTATGAAACAAACTCAATTCTCTTTTGAGACAAATGCAAAACTAAAAGAAATGTAATTATTTCAGCATTTCTGAAATATGAATAAAGCAAGCAAACTGTATATATTTATTAGGGATACAGTTTCTTGAATTAAAGGAGACCTTTATTTACATAACTGGGCCTTTTACATAGGAGTCTTAGCTTAAGACCGATTCGGGACCGATCTGAGAGCAACTCTGAGTAAGGAAAAGATGAAAACTAGTGAAGAGGCGGGGCTGACCCCGTTGCTATGCGTGACAATCTTTTGAAGACTGTGATTGGTTGGTTGTCCAAGAAGGTAAAATGAAAAAGTTATTTGAAGTATAGAGTTTACACACACACACATTATATTTATGTACACAAATCCTTTTTTTTTTTTACCTTGCTCTTAAATTTCCTATAAAGTATTTGATTAGCTTAGAATGATAAAAAAATTTCAAATTACACTGATTGCTGTCTATTTGGTCTGAATGTTGGTTTTAATATAGAAAACAAGAAAGACGAGAAAGCCCGACTGGACAGAAGAACCGTGTTTACTGTTAGCCCAGTTAGTGGATGAACACTAGGCCATAAAGGAAAATTCGGACCGGGCGTCACAGCACCAGGCAAGAAGCGGACGTGGGAGCTTATAGCGCACATTATTAACCGATCATTCCCCCTGCTTGTGCGCACCAGGGAAGCCTGCTACATTCATAACTGCAGTTTTTTGAGCCTGCAAGGTGGGAATGTCCAGTGGAAACTAAATGAACTGTGACACAATAAGAGGTTCTGAAAGTGCTGTAATGTTTGTGTGATCACTGCTTACAGAAGGTTGTGACAGAGCCAAATCACTGCTGCTTTATTGCACTTTACCATTTTCCAAATATATTAATGTAGTGATTACTTTCATTTCTGGCGTTATGGCATTGTGCTGTGTCTGATCTTATTAGAGACACGTTAATATCTCTGTCACAAACATGATCCCGGCACGATCTCGTCTATAGCATCTTATTAACTCAATGTCATCCATGGCAACACATTTCTTCTCCCTCTCTCTGTTCTCCTCTGCTAAAGAAACTCTTAAGCCTCTTAAAAGTCCTCATCCGTACTCCTAACAATTTTGACCTTAAGACCTCTTTTAAGGGTTAAGATTCTTTCTGAATTACTACTAGGATTTTTTCTTTAATTTTAAGAGTAAACGCCCACATTTCTAAGAATTGTCACTAGGAGCTACTCTTTGCATGAAGATTCTTTATGAATACGGGTTAAGGAGTAAACAAATATCTCTGTGTCTTTATGATGTCTAAAAGCATTCAAAACTTAGTCTCTCACTTCTGCTAAAATGGATCAGGAATTTTTACGACATCACTGCAGACTTCAGCTTCTCATCACATATTGTGTCCAATCAAATGCTCTCTAGAATCTAACGCTATAAACACCACCTAGCCAAAGCGTGCATTGACGCGTCAGCAAATATAAGACAAAAACTCATTTGGGGACATACCTATAACTGACATAATTAGATTAATAATTCCATAATAATTCCATGATTTGTTGCGTCTGTTTTATGTTCCGCATGATGGCCCTGTCATCTAACCACCAATCACCGTGATCATTGCAAGAAAACTTGTGCATGAGAATTGACGCCATCCATAGCAACAAAGACTCACTCTTAGTTTAGGAGTTGTCATTTTTCCTCACTAAGAGTAGGTCTGAAAGGCGTTTTGATTAACTTTTAAGAGAAAACTCCTAGCTAAAATATTTTAGTGCGATTTAGGAGTGCTCCTAGTGGCAAGATAAAATTCTTTGTGAATACGGCCCCAGAACGTGTCAGCGCTGTCTTCTACACAAGTGTCCACAGTTCCTGAGGTGTTTATAAGTTCAACATGATGATGAGATGATCAATGTACCTCCATAACAACTACATAAATGTCTCCACTAACATTCAGAAACTCTTCCCTAGTCTCTCCGTAAGGCTGCACTCGCTACTGGTTATTCTGGGATTCTGGA